AAAGCGGTCAGCCAAGCAACAGCCTATAAAATTAGCTTTTCATACTCAAGTATTTGTTTACTCCCATTTCTGCCTTTTTTGAAATTAGTTACTAAGCACTTCTTTCATGTTTTCATCTAACTCTCTATAAAATTTGAATTTCAAAAAACTAAAATAGACTTTGCAAACAAGTAAGCTACAAGCGTGAAAAAATTCTTCCACGCAAGTGTTATTTTCTTCGATACCCACATGGATTTAATCAGCATTTTGGAAAAATCCGTTTCACCTGGTAAGTTAAGAATAAAATAGTATTTTCCTTCGTGTTTCTTGCAATGAAAACGCCATTGTAAATCCGTTAGGCTTAGCAAGTACTGTATTATTTAAAACAAGATTTTAATCGCTGTTTGTCATTACATAAACTTTTACAGTAATATCAATTATGCCTTTTACTTTCTAATGTCGGGACTCCATGAAGAAATATGTTTTCCATTTTTTTGATTTTATAGTAAGTTTTTAGTTTTGTATGGAATCTGTTTATCATCAGTTATGTAAAAACGGTTTGAAAAGTGAACTATTAATTTTTTTGGAACAATTGGTGCCTATTATTCATCTGATGTGTTGATAATTGTGTGATACTAAATAATTGAAGAAATAAGTCCTCATATATCTGCGGATCTTATTTTTTATTTGTTGTGTATTATGAACGTATTAAGTTTTAAAAGTATTATCCTACATTTATTTTAAGGAAAAAACGCTTTATCTTTTCCTTTTTAAATTGTTTAAGTATATATTTCTTAATTTTGTTTGTTAGTCAACAATCGCAATATTATTTTCTATCTTAACTAATAACATAATTAAAAGTATTCATAAGAAATTGCTTCACTGTTGTCAAAAAATACAAAATTAATCTTGACCTCAAATAAATCTCAAAGGACTTCGAATCAAATAATTAAGAAAACCACAATCACATTTTACATTGCCTGTGAAAAGCATGCCGGCCACATCAGCTCCAAGTAATAATTTGACGTCATTTGATACTCCTAGAGAACTGTACTCAGTATCAAGGCCGTAGCCAGGATATTTTTTCGGGAAGGGGGGGATATGGTAAAAAGCAAGGATAGTTTCAGACATGCAAAGTAGGGGAAAAACATTGTCACAAATATTGGTTATTCTGTTGTTTGCAAAAGTTAAACTAGTAGGTAATTAAAAAATATTACATAATAATTATTTTTCAATTAATATTACATAATAATTATAATTTATAATCAATTTATAACAAATGTTTACAAAAAAAGACATGCGACGGGGATTTGAAGAAAATTTTTCGATTACTTTTTTAGGACAAACCGAAATATGCTTAATAAAGTTAGCCCTGTTAGTCTTTCTTCTTTAGTAGCATTTCTTGTTGCTGTTTTTACTCGTTTAAGAGTAGAAAAAGTTCTTTCTGCAGTTGCTGTGGTGATTGGCAGCGTTGCCAATATTGATTACAAGCATTGAATGTTGAGAAAAAGATACTGTCACATTCTTTCATTACTGAATCTGGTCTACTAAGGGATTCATACAGGTTCCACTTTGATGCCCATACTTCCATTTCACCCATGAGGTTTTCGATGTCAATAAAATCTGCATAGATTCGAAAATTACATAAATTAGTATCCACGTTCACACAATACTTAGGTAACACTTTATTGAGAGATGCAAGAGTATCTTTGTGCTTCAAAAATCAATCAATCAGTTGGGTAGCGAACTAATCTATAAAAGGAATGTATATACAGTACAGAACCCGTTATCTGGAAATCAGAAAACAAAAAAACTGGAACGAAATTCGATAGATCTTCCCGCCATTTTTTTAAAATTCTTTTTTATTTTCCAGGGTTTTTCTTTCTTTTTTGAGCTCCATTCAAATCTAAATGAATTTGTTGGATGGAGTGCTTTGCTCAGTGGGAGAGACACAGAAAAAATATGTCTACAAACAAGTAAAGTAATGTAAAACTCACTTTTAGTGATAGTAGAAATAAGATTGTCCTCTTTAGAGGAAGCATCACAGTTTCCGGAAGCCTTCATTCTTCGAGAAGTTGAATTATTTCTGGATACAGTTCTTTAATGATTGCATCATGCTTTTCTATCAGGGTTGGCAAGTTTTTGACACATGACGGTTTTTACCGGTTATAACCATGGTTTTTACCGTCATGTCAAAAACCCATCTGTCAAAAACCCATAGTTTTGGCAAAACTGTATTTTTATTTGAGTTTAACTGCTTATAATTTAAAATTAATTAATTTTTGAGCAATAAAATTAGAAAAAAAGTTGTTAAAAGATATTTAAGAACAGATTCTTGCATTTTCCCAACATGTTTATGTCAAATAATACTATTTGAAGTAAAATATTAGGATACTAAACAAAATTTTCTACATTTCCAAGCATCACTTTGTTTGGCATATTACACTACCGAAGAATGTCAAGATTGATTACTTTCATTCATAAAATCTAGCTTTGAGAAACACATGTACACATAAAAAGAAAGCCTCATAAAATAAACTTTTCTTATCATTTTTGTTTTCAATATTTTACACATAAATGAGACATGAAAAAGCCTGAGAAATCTCTTTAGAGTTTCCTTGCAACATTGTAATAACCTTTTGTTATCATTATCCTCAATGACAGGCTTCCATTGAAAGAATCTTCTCGAATTTTGGACTCATCCATACTAAACTCAGAAATTTAGTGGGCAATGAAAAATGTGCAAAATTAGTCACTTGCTATTGTATGCTACGGCACAGTGACCCCGACTACTGAACATGTAATTTTGTTTGTAATTAAGTTTTGCTTAATGTGCTTTTTCAACTGAATAAAAGCTTTTAACTTGACAAAATAGCAGTAATTCTTGACTTAGAGTTTGTTAGTAGTTACAAGTTTTGAAAGTTTATTTTAGCTTATTTCTAATATTTAAGAAATGCCAAATTTTAAATTCTTCTTTTTAGTTCCTGAATTTATTAATAGTTCCAAGCTTTTTTGTTTGTTTATTTGTTTATTTCTAACAATTAAGAAGTGCAAAATTTTGAATCATTTGCAAATCAAGCTATATAATGATAAAAGTAAGTATCACTATTTTCAATAAGTATATTACAATATTACTGTATGAATGTATCTCCTTCTATAAGAATACATGTATATAGTTGCAAAATCAATAGCAATCATTTACAACATTCATTTATAAAGGCAATTATGTGAAAATAATATATTGTCCGCTATATGCCATTAATTAAAAAAAACAGTAGGTTTTTGACAGTTTTTACCGGTAAAAACACGGTTTTTACCACTGTCATGTCAAAACCAGTTTTTGACGGCAAAAACCCAACCCTGTTTTCTATCTATCTTGTTTCGCAAAAAGATATATTTTTTTAAAAAAATTTTCATTCGGCAAATTTGTTTTGATGATGTCTTCTAAAATTTTTGTTCCTTTGGCAGAGGATTTGATGAATTTTGTTATGGCCCATTCCATAGTGACGTGTGTGACATATGGATTCACTTTACAATGTTTTACAATGAAAATACACTCTCCTGAAATTGATGGGAAAAGCTTATTAATATGGTTTCGTAATGCGTGAGTGACAAGACATTTTAGTGTAAAAAGCATTTAGTTTTAGTTTTTGCTTTAAATAGAAAATGACTTTAAAGTCATGTGACGTGTGTGACTATTTTGTAAGAAAAATTTTCAGGTTGATCTGTAAATTAAATTTTTTCTGTGATTTATATTGATAAATAATATTTATTTTAATTTAAATGGGTAATAGATGCTTCAAACAATTTCTATCAATCACTATTTTATTATTTCAAGTCATGCATATTTAATTAAAAAATAAAAATGCTTGTGACTTCAATTGTGACGTGTGTGACATGTGCAAATAGTTAAAATTATTTATTATGAAACTTGGGCGATAGGAAAAACTTATGAATTAATTGAGTAAAATAAGGTTTAACAGCCTATTTTAAAATAAGAATATTGTAATTTATAGTTTCTCAAAGTAAAATTGTCTCAAAGTAAAAACTCCATCATCAGATAACAAGATAAGCAATTTATTTAGCACTTAAGCAGGGATGAGATTTTTCCGCTTTCTTCACTTTTATGTCTTGAATTTCAGCTTTTTTTTTTAAATCAAAAATTCAGATTTTCTAAAAATTTCACTTTTTTTTTGTAAGTATTCCGCTTTTTCAGATAATTCACCGATTTTCAAAGATTTTCAAGAAAATTCAAACTACATAGCTACCAATCCTTTCTCATTTTGCTGCTTCTGACGCTGCTTCTGACAAGCCTTTTAGAGGTCCCAAGACTGGAATATCTCGATTCTTATTCACACATTTTCATATCAAACAAAGCTTTTCATATTTGCGTGTTGCGATTCTTATTCACGCAATTTGAATATTGTACGTTGCGATTCTTATTTACGAGATTTAAAAATCCGATATTGTGATTCGTATTTACGCTTTTTTAAAAACCTATGTAGCTATTCGTATTCACGCAAGTTTAAAATTCACTGTCTTGATTTGCTCATGCGGTTTATAATATCAAACATTGATTTTCGTATTTATACATGATTTTAAAATAAGGCATTGGTATTCGCATTCTAAAAATTATGCATCATAATTCTTATTTATGCAATCTAAAAATTACGCATCCGGATTCGTATGTACACGATCTAAAAATTATGAATTGTGATTTGTATTTACGCGTTTTAAAAATTCTATATCCCAGTTTGTATTATCTCATCTTCAAAAAGTTATATCTAGTTTCATATTCATGTGATTTCAAAATCCATAATTTTTATTCATATTCACGCAATTTTAAATCAACTATCGCGATCCTTGTAATTCAGATCAAGTAAATTTTTTTAAAAAATTAGTTACTATAAAGGTGACTGTTTTTCTAACGACGATTATTAGTATATGTAATTGTTACAACATCAGAGAAACTGGAAGGGAATATATTCAAAACTTACATTCTGTGCTTGCAAAGAAGAAAAAATAGGATTTGTCACAAGATGTTTGAAGATGGACTAACGACTAAATATAGCAAACATAAAAGATATAGCAAACAAAAGCAATCACTTAAAAAGGGATTTAATTAAAAAAAAATTTGGGGGGAAAAAGAGTTAATTAACTCATCATCAAAATTTTATTTATAATTGCTGTTATTTATGCTATAAAATGCAAAATTCTTATCAAATAAAGAACAATTATCTAAACAGTTGCTGATTGTCATGTAATTTTTCAAACTAAAATATCAATTTTTGTATGTTAAGGAGTTACTATATATTTCTACTTCACTGTTATTGATATGTTTCAGGGGGCTCTAGTTAGATTAAACAATAATATGAACATAATGATTCGGTCCATTGTTAAATTTTTTTTCCAATGTAATCTAAAAAGTAATATTACTGATATATTTGCTATAAATCACATGACAGTATTTATTAAATAATGTATATTCTCAGTAGTTTTAATTTGCTAAACCAGGTAGTTTTTCAATTAATAGTTCTCTCTTATGTGAACTGAGGAAAAATATAATTTCCAGCTTTATTTTTTCAATTGGTAATTTTTATTTTCACTAAATGTTAAGTATCAATGTAATCATTTATATAATAATAGATTAGTACAGTACAGAACCCGTTATCCGGAAATCAGAATACCGGAAAACCAAAAAACCGGAGTGAAATTCGATAAATTTTCTCGCCATTTTTTTAAAAAAATGTTTTTTTTCCTCATAAGATTTTAGGATTTTTCTTTCTCTTTTGAAAGATGTTTACTTTACCATCATTTTGGAAATAATCATTAGTGTATTACTTCATCGTTTTTTCTTCTTTTTTTTAAGATTATTTCCAAATAATTTTTTTTTTCAGTTGGGTTTAACAATAAAAAAAATGGCTTTATGTAGCGATTCAGAAAACCGGAAAAATCAGTTATCCGGAATAGCGATGGTCCCGATCGTTCCGGTTAATCGGTTCCCTACTGTACACAATTGTATGTCAACACATTATTTATTACCCTAAACTGTCTAGAATTTATTATTAAAGGGTTGCGCTTGTGTAAAATTTACTTTCGTGGAAATTCAGCTTTTTTGTCTTTTGGCTAATCTCATCCCTGTTAAATGGACTTTTGTATTATGTAATCTGATAAAAAGAACATGAATTTTCCCATAGTTTTTTAAATCATTTAAATTTATTTAAAAAAAAATTTTGATAAATTGATTCTGATTGATTTTCATATTCTATTTTTTTCTTAAATTTTTTTTTTAGTAATGAGTTTTGAAGTTTCTAATTTTAAACATTTAAAAGTAAAATTTTAAGCAAAGATATTACAAGGTTCACTGAAAAAAATAATTTAGTTGCTTAAACAATGATGTTTATATAACAATTACTACCTACATTTGCGGTCTAAATACTTTGGTATGCGTCCCTTCATTGGTCAATTTCCTGTGCATGTGGCCCTTCACTCAAAAAGGTTGTGCAACCCTATACTATAAGATATAGTGCTTAACATCGCATCTGTTGTTGCATAGAGAAACATTGCACATATCGGTAAATTTCAGATGCATCTCCCAGTACTAATGAATAGGGCCTTATAAATTATGCAACTCAGCAGAAAATCAAGTAATTTGCAATTCAGTTGCAGCAAACTTTTGCATTGCCTTATGTTTTAGACCGTATCCTTTAAGCTTTGTTCTTTATCATTTGGAATTTTGCAATGATCTTCTCTTATCAGGGCTAATCTTTGCTGTTATAATTGAAAAATTATTATTAAAATAGAAGAAAGAAAATTAAAAGTATTTTTTTTTGTTTTAGTTTTTTTTTTGGAGATCAACTGTAACTGGTCTACATAATTTTAATTGCCAAATCCTTTTCACATGTTAAAAATATTTTCACAATTTATTTATCCCTCAGTGTAAATAATTATTTTTGTTTTATTTTTTTTATAGGTGTTGTCTGCTTTAGGAACAGAAACTCTCAGACCTAGTTCTGCTGCACTGTGTGTAGCTTATATTGCTGTTGTTGAGTTACCTCGTGGGGAGTGGCCAGATCTCATTTTATTACTTACCCAGAATATGACTAACATAAACTCTACTGAAATGACCAAAGAGGCCACACTAGAAGCAATAGAATACATCTGTCAGGATATAGTAAGCTTACCTATTGTATTATTTATGTATGTGTTATAAAGGTATAAAAATGTTTGTACACTAACCAACCAAGAAGTCATTTTTGCTTGTTTTCTCCAAATTTGTTCTATTTTCATTACAGTTCTTTTTGACTAGGCTTCAAAAACTTTTTAAATTTTTTGGCTTAAGTGAAAAATCAATTTTCTTAAATAAGGTTAAATTATTTAATAGTGGGGGTTTCAAAAACCTATTACAGTTTCAGGCGGGGAAAATTGTTTTCTATAAAAATACTAAATTTTTAATGTTTTAGCATAGTGTTAAACTATTTGCAACTATGGTTACTTATTTCAAATATTTGATTGGGGTTCTAAAAACTTAATTACTATTTTGAGTAGAGTGAAAATATTGTCTTTAAAAATTGAGTCTTCTATAAAGTATATTACGTTTGTAAGGGTTTAGCAATAGATTAAAACTATTGGTGAAAGAAAAAAAAACTCATTTCTTCTATTTTTTTCATACCACAGTCCTTTGAATCTCTGGTCCTCTACTATTTTTATATTTTAAAACAAAGTTCAATTTTTAACATAAATTAAGTCATGTATTTCTTCTGTTTTGCAGAATTCTGTGAAGATAGTTGATTCACAGACTTCCGCAAATCAAAATTTTATCACAGTTTTGCTAATCTGAAATTTAATTTTTGCTATAGCGGCAAAATCTAGTTAACTATTCCAACCTTACCAGCACCATATTTTTTAAGTTCTCATGCACACGCAATAACTACTTTTTTCTTACGCGGATTTGTTCGAGCAAAAGGGTATCTTCAGATTTCATAATAACTTTGATGAATTGATTAAATACTAATTAGTTGAACTGATTTATTAACAAGAAAATGATGTTTTATTTTTTTTTACTTGTATTTTAATAAGTAGCAATTTTATTCAATTCTGATCTGACACAGAAGAATTATTTAATCAATTTGATATTTATTTGATATCTGATTTATTATCTTTCAGTAAACAAATATTTAATTTTTTGTATTTGAATTTTATTATTAAGGTATATTTTCTTTTTTCTTGTGTAAAATAACAATTTATGTTAAATTTCATTGTCTGAAAAACTATTAATCAGAGAAAATTTTCATAGAACATATTAGTCTTGTTTATAAAGGAGTTTTTTTATATTTTTTAACCAAGTTGGATATTTTATTATCTTTCAATGAATAATTAATTAATTTTTTAATATTTTATTTTTGTATTGTATAAAGTAATAGTTTTATGTTTAAGTTTCACTATTTATAAACTGTATTTCACAGCTAGTATTAAGCACGATTTGTTGCGCTATTTCGATTATTTCCTTGTGACTGCTCCTGGCAAGCAGTTTGAAAAGTTGGCATGTCTGCTGTTATTAATTTTTTTATTATTCGCAATTTTTATAGCAAAACGGCAAACACACAGAAAAAGTATACATTTTCTAATAGGGAATTGTGCTGATTATTTAATGGAATAATCTAATTTCGATGAAATGAAAAATTACATGATTTAATAATTTTAAATAAAACTTTTGGAAACTAGATACATGAATTTATATTCAGAAAATAGCACATGATTTACCCCTTTAATAAATAATACATTTTCTTATTTTTGATCCATAAATAAAACATAGTTACATTAGATTTATTAACGGAAACATGGTGTTTTCTCTTTTTTTATATATATTTGTATTTTAATGAGTAGCAATTTTATTTAGTTCTGATCTGAAGCAGAAGAATTATTTAATCAATTTGATATATTTCTCCCCCTTTCTTAGTTTGCTACAATTAACTCAAATTAATTTTTAATATGTATTATGTCATAGAAATCTTGAATCACTTATTTCAGTAATTTTTCAACACACTTAATATCGTAAATATATATTTCAATCTTATTTGATAACAAAATATTTCCTTTTTCTTTAAATTTTGTATACATATTTTTTTGTGCGCAAAAATGATATCTTTTATGTTAAAGAGAAGAAGAAAAAATAGTACTAAATAAAATTAAGAAAAAAAATTTCAGATAATTTCTTCCAGTAATCACATGTCTAGAAGTTGCTTCGTTACGTGTACCTAATTTCATATTTGTTAAGTTTCAGTTTACTAGCTCTTTTGACAATTACTATTATATTGTCTATAATTGTAGATTGTCTTTTATCTATATTTCTGACTCTATATTTATGAGCAAAAATACATTTTAGTTTTTTTTTAATTATAAAAAATCTTCGATTATCATCAGAATTGTCTTTATGTACTAAAATATAAAATGCTGAAAAAGTAGTTAAAAATTTTTTTTTTCTTTCTCATTCATATGCAAGAAATTATAAATTGATTTTGTAAGTTAAAGTAATTTACAAAATCTATAAATTTTATTAATGATGAATAACTGTTTCTCTAAGTTTTAAATTACAGCTAATAATTGCAAATTAGAAGAATTATTGTTCAAGCTGAGTTCACAAGATTTTACCCTTAACTCAGAAAAACACTGGTGTTTCATGCTGTAATTCATAACCATAATTTATTGAATTGCTAAGTACATTAGAGAACCGATTATGCGGAACAATCAGGACCATCTTGATTTCGGATAATTGATTTTTCTGGTTCGCTACAAAACAGCTTTTTTTTATTGTTTTTCAAACCTGGCTTAAAAAATATTCTTTAGAAATAGTTTTAAAAAGAAGAAAAAACTATAAAGTCACGCATAGTACATAGTATAATATATTTCACTTATTTTGACTGTAAAGAATACAACATAATGAAAGAAGTATGAAAAGTATATTCAATAACAATTCTTTATCAAATATATCTTGATATTTTAATGTAGGAACCAAATGTTCTTGTTTCACTGTCAAATGATATCCTGACTTTTCATGGGATTAGAAAAGATGAACGTAATGATCATGTTGAGCTTGCCGCAACCACTGCACTTCTAAACTCGGCCAACTTTGAGAAAGAATCTGAGAGGCATGTGTGCATGCAGGGAGTGTGTAAAAATGCTCTGTCTGCTGGTAAAAAAGTGAGTTTAAAAACCTATTTTGATAATTAATGTAGTTAGTGTTTTTGATTGTTGCTTTTTTTTAATATGCAGAGATGAGATTCTTCCGCGGATTCGCGGATTTCCGCTTTTTTTCAGATTTTTCCATTTTTCCCGCTAATTTCCGCTGAAATTTTTTTTGCCCAAGTTAAAATGTTTTATGAGGAATTTAATTTTCCGCGGAGGGAAATTGTTGAAGTCCCTTTTCCTCCCTCTGAAGTTTCTCTAAAAATCATTTCCTTGGGATAAAACTGGTTGACCTTTATACAGGGATGAGATTTTTTTTGTCTCTCGAATTTCAGCCTTTTTATCAAAAACTCCGATTCTCTAAAAGTTCGGTTTTTTTCTAATAAATATCCCGTTTTTTTTTTAAAATTCAGTCATTGAAGTAACATAATTATATTTATTTACGATTTTCAAAGATAAACAGAAAATTCAATCTACGCCCTAGCTGCTAACCCTTCCGCATTTTTACTTATTTTAGCTATTTTCTCCGATTTCACGCACAGAAAATAAG